TGAAACTTGTAGTGACTTCCTTAAATGATCTTTATGTAATTTACAATATGCCTTTGCCTACTGATGATTGTTCCCTTTTTTTTTTTTTTTTTTTTTTTTTCATACAGAATAGGAATGATGACAAAATGAACTTGGCATTTTAGTATAGGTTTCCTACATCCACCTGCCTCTTCAAGGATAAACTGAAGAGTGGAGAATTAGGAATTTATAGCCCTGTATTAGAAACAGCTAATATGAAAGCAGGAGACCAAGTTGTGACATTCTGGGGACTCTAGGAGATTTCTAAAATGGTTAGCAGCTGGTATTTAACAATGGGAGAGTGATTATAGTTTCTGGCTAAATTTAAGAAAATGACTAATGATTTTAGGCATTAGTATTCTGGAGTTCTAACTTGCACACATTGTAAAAGCTTCTGATTTTTCAGGAAGGAAAGAGTATAAAAGCACCCAAAATGAAGGTTCTTCAAGACACAAATTGTTTCTGAAGACAATTTCCTAAAATGATCTCAGAGGGGGTGCATTTATGTAACTGAGATGTTTGAAAAAAACAGAAATATGAGGAAGTTCAAAATTGGAAAGCCTGAGACTGTGTGGAGCTTTCCTATTTCTCAGCTCAGAGCTTACAAAGTCAGTGCAGGAAACTATGACACAATGGCTTAAAAATTTCCACAACTTCTCCTGATCTTTTTCATGTTCCTTGGAATTGAAAGGCCCAACCAAACTTGAAGGAAATTTTTAATAACATCTAAAATTATCAGTAATCTTTGAGAACAAAGAATTCTGCATCAAAAGATATTCCTTTAATTCATATTTAATGTAGTTATGACTAATTTGACATTTAGAATTTGATTGGATTGTTATGTGCCAGAGCTTAAGAACAGAGAGCAGACAAGCACTTCCCATCAGTTGCAGCTACTGCATAAAACAAAACAAATATATGTTCAAATCACTTCTGGCAGCAGCATTTGGAATATGAATAGAAACATTGTCACAGAAAAAAAAAGAAAGCATCCACTGCTGCGTTGAATAGTTTTGCACTGGTTTGGGACTGCTTACTACAGGAGTGTATTGCTAGATCATGGCTTTAGACAGTTTTATTAAATTGCTTCTGCTATGTTTGAAAATGCTTAGCAGGAAAATAATTAAAAATGATTGGATAAAAAAAAACAGCTTCTAAGCTAATATAAATTGGAATCTGGTGAGAATGATGTTTGTATCTTAGCCTATATTATTTTGATTTATTTCTTTACTAATATTAATCTCTTTTGAAGTTAATATTGATGGCCAATATCACTTCTGTTCTTATGTGTTAGGTAATGATGCATAACTGCACGGTGCCCTAGATTTCAGAAATTACATCTACATTCTGTAACCTATCTTCATATTTATCTTTTGGGTTTTTTTGAAGAACAAGGATAAATATGCAAATTTTGCTTTTACTTTGCAGATGCCTTAGGCTTTGTTGAAGATATATGAATATGTAATGTCCTGGTACCTTATTACTTAATTGAAGTTGATTGATAAGCAGCAGATGCACAAAGCTGTAAAATATCTCCCTTTTAGCTCTGTTCTCTTTAAGGTCGCTCTTTGATCCTAGTTACTTTGTATGTTTAACAACATTTGCCTTCTTTCTATGGTGTGTTTTTATCACTTTCCTCTTTTTGAAATGATTGTAAGAATCTGTGATTCTGCTTTTAGAAACAGTTTCCTATTAGGTTAGAGACAGCAAGAAACAGAACCAAATGCCTCTGTACTTCATAGCTGATGGAATTATTTTATAAAGAGGTACTTAGCAAGCTTTTTATTTATGTTGTCTAAATTCCTAATTTCTGTTCAATTTTCTTATTTCTGTTGTTTATGTGGGACCTAGAAAAGTTGTGGCTTTTTGTTTCCCCCCACCTCTGGAAACTCAAGGTACTCATGGTCCAAATCTTCTTTGTAAAACTAAATATGCAGGAGTGGATGTCAGGCCCAGTTGAATAGAACCTGATGCTGGTTAGTTCTTTCCTAATAGACATCCAAGCAGCCAAAACCAATTATAATCTGTACTTTCCACTATTCCCCTACTCTTTGCTGCTAAAATACCACTCACAGTGTTGGAAAACACTCTCTTAGCTGAAACTAAGTGATTTAGGTCTTGTGGGACTCCTCAGCATTCACATAGCAACAGAAGAGCTCTAGGTGTGCTGTGTTTGGTCATTGTGATCACTAGAGAAAGCAGATGTGGCTCCTGTCCTTTCCTGTCTGCTGCAAGGAGCATCCAAGTGGGACAATAGCTCCTTTTTTCTCAGCAGTGCTGACATAAATGGATGTCAAAGTACAGCCTTAGAGCCTTAGGGAGTTGAACCTGGCAAGCTCTGGTAGTCTTTTGCACTGGCAGGAAGGCATTAATATCCCATAGGAAAGCACAGGTTCTGTTCTCTAAATATTACTCAGAAATCCCCAATAGCATATTTGTGAGGAAAATGGGTCTGATTTTCTCCAAAGCATTCATATTCCAGCCATGAAATTTGAAACATTTTGATACAGCAAGAAAGAGAATTACACAAAAATTGCTTAGAATCAATGTCTGACCATTTTGCTATGATCAAGATCTCTTTTAGTGTTTTGCTATATACAAATCTAATAAGAAAATTGACCTTTTTCACATCTGAAGTTCAAGTAAAAATTCACTTTTTCATATCCTTTTAAATCTGTCACTGGGAATTTAAAACAGAATTTAAAAAAACACGCATCAAACAAGCAACCTACTCTTAGAGAACTGAAAAGCAGAGTTCAGTGTAGCAAGTTCAGACACTAAAATTGAGAGAATATAATACGCTCTGTGCAATGCAGCTGTGGTTAAATGCTGATTTCCACCTTAGGACTAGATTAGCATCATTCAGATGTGACCTGTATATTGAATAAATATCACAAGTGTAGTGCTATTGCTAAAAAATGAAAGTGCACAGTACACTTCAGATTTAATATATCACCCTTTTGTATTTTTAGAGTCTACAGAAGTGTAAAGGAAGAGCTATTACTTCTCAATTTTTATAAAATGCATATAATTTTATTTCTTGTAAAAGATCAGTTTGATACTTGTTATGTTTATAAAACAGAATATAATAATGCTATAGCAGTGATAGTCATTTTGCTACTCAAGGAAAAGCCATATTCAAACAAATGACCATTTAAATGTTTATTATTTTTATTCTGAAACCAGTTAAAATTGATTGAAGGTATGTCCTGGTTTGGTATTATTGCCAATTTATCACAGACTATGTGGCTACAGTGCCTGAATGATGGACTTTGAGTACTTTAAACTTTAAAAGACCTTAGGGTTGATAAATCCATCTTATTCACTTTAAAATTAAATGTAGTTTGCATTTGACCCGAAGGATGTATTGAGCAGGAAGACCCCCTCATAAGTTTTGTTGGTTAAGTGGTGAGCTTTAGGATAATTACTTTCTGCAGCATTTCTTCAGCTGTTGACTACAGTCTTTCTATGAAAAAATTAAAAAGATATGTGCCCTTATTGAAACCACATAGGAAACAGAGACACATCTGGTGTGTTGGTGGTTATATCCTGTGAAAAACATGCAGCATGCTGGCTACATGCCTTGCTTTCCAGGAAAAGTACCTGCCAGCCAGGCCCACTAGCCCACCTGCTGCCTCTCTGAATTCTGGCATACCTTGCTAATACAAAAAGCCTGTTCTGCATATGCTTATGGTGTCAGTGCCATGGGTGAGGTTTGGGGCAGGCTGGAGGAGCTGTACAGTGAGAAAAAGGACATGTCTGAGAATTGTGAAGGGCTGCTGGTAGGCATCAAGTTGGCTCCACTCAGGCTGTCATCTCAGTCCTCACAGGCACTCTTATGTGCTTTCCACAGCAGCACCTGTGGATGGGAAACAGTTTCTGGAACGTGCAAAGGTGAAACAGAAAACTGTGCCTCTCTGAGCATGGCACAGTTAAGGAAAGTTCACTAAATTCACATGGAGGACAACACAGAGAGTTGCTTTCTTTATCTACGAAGTTAGAAGGAATTTTCTGTTCAGTGATACCTAACATACCATAGCAAAAATAGATATCTAAATATCCATTGGTTAGACATACAAAAATGCTGCAGATAGATCATGAGAGCTACATATATGCATAGTGTTTCTATGCACACATGAATAGTGGCAAACTTGTATTTGCTTTTGAAAAACTATTTATTTGTGAAGCTGAACCTGCCATTCCTATTTAGTAGATGATGCCAGGTTCGCTCAAGTGTTTTCTGTTGTATGGGGTAGTGGAATAGTGTAGATTTCCTGTATACTAGGCTAGGAACTTGGAATAAAGCAGTGAGCTATTGATTTAATTACTTACAACTTAATATGCGTAACAGCTTGTACAGAGGATAACAGCATCTTGTCATTACTCAAATATTGCTACTAATGATAGCAAAATATAGGATCTTTAACAATGTTTTTTAGTATTGTCATAATTAATTCTGTTCCAAGCATACCTTATTTCAAATTTATCACATTGACAATGCAACTCAACAATTAAATTAAAAGAATACATGAAAGCTGTAAGAAGGTTACTACCAGTGTGTGAGACCTGTCTCATTTTCTCTACAATGCCATAAAAAATAGATGTGGCACATGGTATCACACATACACTACTATGTTTTCTGCATGTAATCTTTAAAGAGAATGTGTAGTTTGGAGAACATACTAGTAAATGCTTCCATTTTTAATCACACTGCTTTTATATCACAGACCACCACTAAAGGTCATTCACTATTTCCCTTGCTTGTTTCACTTTCTCTGGAGGGAGAGAAAGGCTGGCTGAGATTTCTCTTGTGCAGTGGGGTTGCTCGAGTTAGAGATGTAAATCAACCCATGAAAATGGGAAATCAAAGCAATTGATGGGGTATGAAAAAGGATAATGTCAGAATATTTCCTGGCACTGTTAGGAATAGTAGTGTTGTGCTTGCATGCTTGAATGATAGCTCTTATGAAATATTTGCTTACCAAGAAATGAGATCCATTCATGCACAGTTTTTCTACAACTGCAGCAGATTCGGGCATTCCAAACTGAGGTGAGAAAAAAATAGAATTCTTGTATTAGTATGACACTCTACATTTGTAGGTAAACTAACGAACCTTCCTATGCTCAAATATTTGGGGTTGTGGAAATCTTGATACTGTTTGTCCTGGATAATTAGGAAAAGAATAGAGGAGACAATAAGAATAATGCTTAAAAATAGTTATTGACTTCCACATAAGAAGGAAGAAAGATTACAAGGGATAGGGGCTGATAAAATTGTGAAGGGAATAGACAAGATGACCTCAGGAAATTTTTGTATCACAGACTGCTGGAAGGCTGTATAAGAGAAATCTGTTTCATGCCTGTTTACCAACTCTCTACACACTGACTGCTGCTTGACTTCAGCAACAGATGTTTGGGATAAGTGTGTCTTGCAGCTCCCGTGCTGGAAGGGCATTGCTGGAAATAATTCACGTTCAGAAATGGGTATCTGTGATGTGGTGGTGGTGTTCTTTAAGAAAATTACTGTTTATTATTGTCACTGTCAGTTCTAAATTAAAATGAAATGGGAAAGTCCAGAAGTAGCAGCTCTTTATGACAGAAACTCTATAGTAATTTGGAAAAAAAGTGGATAAATTTGTTTTGTTTTATTAAAAAATAGTAAGGAATGGAGCAGGGCTAGAACTGTCCTAAAAATCTCACTGTATGTGTTGTATAGTTTAGACTATATATGTATAAATACATATATATATATTTAAGAAAATACCACTCTTGAAATGAGTTTTAGTATTTGCAACACTTAGCTGTAAATTTCTGTAGCAGTAATGACCAACTCAAACTTTAAGGGGTGAATATTTGTGAAAATAAGTTATTCTCATATAAATATTTATGTAACATTTCTATTTTAATTATTCCTAGAATACTTAAAACCGATCTTGCTTAAAACCAAAGTGTATTTTTATATGTTTTTTTATATATATATATAAATTTTGTATTCAGTTTGTTTTGCCTATAAGCCATGATCCTTGAGTTTATAAATGATTCTTTTATGATGGTTGGGAAACTGCTGCTTTCTTGCAGTACAGAATGGATCACAATTCATAGGAGAGGGTTGCTCTGGGTGTTGGACCAATGGCTGGTTGTGGGATATATTAATTTGCCATCAGTTGAAGTGATGTTGGTGGGGAGGCAAAGAAGCAAGGTAGAGCACACCTTCTGCTCATGGCTTCTGCCTATCTATTTCTAGTTATTGGCTCTGTTGTCAGTTATTTGTTCTGATGAGCTGTTTGTGCTTTGCCTTACACTATTAATCAAGCATGTGACTTTTGTGTAAGGACAAATTTGGTCTCTTTACATGGGTAGCCTGACAAGCATATGACAAGCAGATATCTCACTGCTGATATTTAGTGATGACCACTGAATCTTTCATTTTTTCACAAATACATGAACTCCATAATATTAAGATTAGTACTGAGTAGAGGAACTAGGCTACATGGCAAATAAAGACCAAGTATATAAACTCTGTGTATATATACATTGATACATAATTGTATATAATATTTTGAGATTATACAATTATATACAATATTTCAATTTTATATAATATTTCAATATTGCAATTACAGTGTAGATGCAAGATAACAGGGAAGTACATGCACATGGCTAATAGGTTTCCATTATTTACTTATTTATGAGAAAAAACTCTAGAGGGTTAATTATTTTTTTAGTAGTGAAAGTTACTGGTTCTATAGAAAGTGCCTTTCATGAGGCTGGCAACACTGCAGAATGGCTAGTTAATAACTTCTGTACTTAGGACACAAAAACTTGTTTTGGAAACATCATTAAGACTATTAAAATTAAGGAAATGCCAAGACTGCACTGTACATATGCATATATGCCCTGTACATATTATGGCACTAACCTCTTCTAGAAGACTTGGCCTCAGTCTCAGCACGTAAAACCTAATGTGATGTGACTTTTCTGAACTTCTGTTTGATTTGTTTTACTCTGTTCAGTGTACACTGCTCATCAGCTATCCTGTAGAGCTTAAAAAGTGTATTTTTATATGGAATTTTTTTTATATATATATATAAATTTTGTATTCAGTTTGTTTTGCCTATAAGCCATGATCCTTGAGTTTATAAATGATTCTTTTATGATGGTTGGGAAACTGCTGCTTTCTTGCAGTACAGAATGGATCACAATTCATAGGAGAGGGTTGCTCTGGGTGTTGGACCAATGGCTGGTTGTGGGATATATTAATTTGCCATCAGTTGAAGTGATGTTGGTGGGGAGGCAAAGAAGCAAGGTAGAGCACACCTTCTGCTCATGGCTTCTGCCTATCTATTTCTAGTTATTGGCTCTGTTGTCAGTTATTTGTTCTGATGAGCTGTTTGTGCTTTGCCTTACACTATTAATCAAGCATGTGACTTTTGTGTAAGGACAAATTTGGTCTCTTTACATGGGTAGCCTGACAAGCATATGACAAGCAGATATCTCACTGCTGATATTTAGTGATGACCACTGAATCTTTCATTTTTTCACAAATACATGAACTCCATAATATTAAGATTAGTACTGAGTAGAGGAACTAGGCTACATGGCAAATAAAGACCAAGTATATAAACTCTGTGTATATATACATTGATACATAATTGTATATAATATTTTGAGATTATACAATTATATACAATATTTCAATTTTATATAATATTTCAATATTGCAATTACAGTGTAGATGCAAGATAACAGGGAAGTACATGCACATGGCTAATAGGTTTCCATTATTTACTTATTTATGAGAAAAAACTCTAGAGGGTTAATTATTTTTTTAGTAGTGAAAGTTACTGGTTCTATAGAAAGTGCCTTTCATGAGGCTGGCAACACTGCAGAATGGCTAGTTAATAACTTCTGTACTTAGGACACAAAAACTTGTTTTGGAAACATCATTAAGACTATTAAAATTAAGGAAATGCCAAGACTGCACTGTACATATGCATATATGCCCTGTACATATTATGGCACTAACCTCTTCTAGAAGACTTGGCCTCAGTCTCAGCACGTAAAACCTAATGTGATGTGACTTTTCTGAACTTCTGTTTGATTTGTTTTACTCTGTTCAGTGTACACTGCTCATCAGCTATCCTGTAGACCTGTACTGCACAATATTCAAACCCTCTCTGAAATTCTTTTTCTTCGTTGTTTTAAAATTGTCTAAGACCACCCTGTGAGTTGAAAACTGTATTAGTAAGGGGAGTTGAGGTGCATGAGAAACAAAACTCACACAGCATCCAGTGGCTTTGGATGCCTAACTACAGCTATCTAGGATCTGAGAGATATATGTGTGTAGTTACATATTCAGTATTTTGGCATTTTTACTTTTTGAGCGGAGTTGCTACTGTGATTGCAACACTTATCTTACCAATTCTGCAAAACAGGAATTTCAAGTCAAGCACTCAGGAAATGTCATGTTTTTTTTCTGGATTTGCATGGCTACAGGTAAAAACACTGAGCTTGGGAAGTGACAGAATTGGGTATTTCAAGGTAGCATTGAATCAACGATACCACGAATTAATTCTCTCTCTTCTTCAGCAAGCCCTGGCCTTGTGCACCTTACAATTTATTGAACAGCCCAGAGCAATACACAAAACACATAGGTTTCTCTGCATTGAAAGAGGTGGGGTTTTGTGAATGGAAATGGTATTATATGAAGCAGCAATTATAGAGTATCATAATGTGCATGCAAAAGGTGGGAAATTCAGGTTATAGAGATAATCCCACTCTGACACTTCAAACATTTGATGCTGGTTTCTGCAACCTTAACAGTATTATTTCAGGGTTCATGTATGTATATGCTGACTCTGGCAGGGATCCAGCACAGCCCCTGCCATATTGGCTGTCTGTGGAAACGATGGTGGTATCTGCTGCCCAGGGTCTCTGTAGCACTGCTAGTGGGAGCTGAACAGCTCTGCACAAGGTGGCCCCAGGCAGATGGCTGCTACTCCCCACTGCTAGTCTTTGATATGCAGAATGGCCAAGCACTTAATTTGGTTATGCTGCAGTAATTAGATCACTTAGTTGCTTTAATCAGTGATGTAAGTGTAAGCATAGGCATTAACAGCTTTTTCTAAAGTTGCTGGAAGACTAGTTTAACAAGTAGGAAGCCAGTAGTGCCTGCTCTTGAAGACTCAGAGATTGAACAATTGTCATTAATTTTCTGTCCTGTATTCTGCTGTAGAATTGCAGTGTACTTTAAAATCATCTTATCTTCTAATAATTAGTCTGATTCCCTTTAAGCTGAAAGGTTTTGAGCTAATTAATCATCAGAGTAGCTGTTCACAGTAATAAGTTCACAACTGAGCTGCTAAATTATCATTGTGGCATATATTAACTCCATGGAACAGGTTAGTTTTCTTCATGTGGGGATAATGGTCCACTTGTGATACGCCTGTATTGGAAACCTGTTGTGTGTTTTTTTTAAATTTTGTGCATGCATAGTTACTTATGCAAAAATAAAAATGGAAAAAAAAACAAACAAAAAACTAAACACTTCAAGCTTTTGCCTACGTTTTACACAGCCACAAATGGAAGTTTTGTAGAAACATTTCATAGCAATGTACTGTTTTCCTTGAAAAAGTTTGTATGCTCCTTTAATTGAAAAGAGTGAGAAACCATAATATCAATAAATTCTCACTGTTAAAGCAGGCACTGGTAAAGATCTGTCCTTCTACAGTTAACAGCAGGATGAACACAGGACAGAAGAAACCTATATATAAAATGATACAGAGTAACTTGCATTAAAAAAAAAAAAAAAGGAAATGTAAAATGAGATCATATATCAAGATGTAGTCAGTGGACTTGACTGTGTAAGTTACAGCTAGAAGTCTAAAACCTGTGTTATAGTATTGAGTTAGCTACAAGGAAAAATCTGCTGTTAAAAAAGGGTATACCATGGAGGATAGAATTTATATGTTGGAGGAGTTTATTCAAATAGTGAAAAGATGACTGGAAAAAAGCTTGGAATATTTTGTGCAATATAGGT